AGCACTGGAATTACAGGTGGGCACCTCCACATCTGGCTTTGGTGGCAGGCTCGGCGCAGGACCAGCACAGCATATATTACCAGAAATCAAACTCACAATCTTGTGTTTGCAAGGAAGGCACTGTGCCACTGAGCTATACTCCCAGCTCAAGTATAAACATCCTGCAATGACTTACCTTCCCCAGAGGCTATTATGCATGGCTAATAAATGAATTACCTTCTGGTTAATGGTTGGTTCTATTTTTTTTCTTTTTTCTTTTCTTTTTTTTTTTTGGCAGAACTGGGGCTTGAACTCAGGCCCTTGCACTTGCCAAGGAAGTGCACATTCTACTAAGCCATCTCCCCGGACCCCTTGGTTCTATTTTTCAATGTAAGATGTTAGGGATACCAAAATGCAAGTTTCCTCTAGAGTTGAGTATATAAATCCTAATGTTACAGAACATTTTAAATGATAAAAATGTTTGACATCTTTAAATTTTCAGTCAGTTTTTCTACTCAAGTCAAGATTTTCAACAATATGGGGAATTACTGCAAATATAAGGCTCAATGTACTCTACACATTATACCATATATAGTCACAGTGTTTTTGGCGAATCCTCTTAAAATTTTCTTTGGTGTCACCAATTTGAGAGTCGTTTTTTCTCAAATGCTATCTTCTTTTGCAAAAATCCATGACTAAAGTGTTTCTACAGTCACCCTGATAATCATAGTGCTAGCTCATGCCACACTGCAAAAGGTGTGTGGATATTTTATAACCAGTTGTGGCCGCAGCTGCCATCTATCACAGAAGAGTTCCTGTAATTGACAAAACAGAGACGATAAAAAGGGAAAGACAAGGGGGTTGGTAAGGAAGACATTTATTCTGTGATATATCCTGCAACAGTAAACACCACAATCTCTTACATAAATGCTTCCTAGGTGGGAAAACATTCCAAGAGAAAGCTTAAAAACTGGACATCACCTGTACTATGTGGCTTCATTCGATTGGAAAGACTGCATGTATTTTCTGCTTGTACTAAAAAGAAGTGCATAAGGACTGATGACTGGATGTGGTAAGTCAGCTACAGAAGTAGCTCTGGCATCTGCTACTTCCACTTTGCCATCCATGACTTCTGTTCTGTTAATGGTAGTAGACATTTGATTAACTACTCAGATTTGGACATGCAGAGAACTCCAGGTGGGTTGTGAGGTAAATCACAAAGCTAAATCTCCATTACATCTTGTTTCTCTACTTCCAGGTATCTGGCAGACTGGCAGCTGGAGGCCTTCACCTCAAGGGCAAGAGAATTATTTCATTATTTATTTCCAGAATAATTGGAGGGGGCAGGAATGCACACTTAATGGCCTGTCAAGGCTGCTCTGCTCTTTCTGGCGTGGTGACCCACCCTCAGGCTGTGGAGTGTACTTCTTTTCCTATCTTGGCCCTAACTCACTGTGCAGAGTCTGTTTCTTTTCCTATTTTTAATAAAACTTTGCTTCTGTTTGTGCTTGTCTTGAACAACTCTTTGCTCAAGACCAAAGGAGCCTAGAGAACACCACAAGGAGACTCCAGCACCCCACATCCTGGTAACATATCTGGCCTCACCAGCCGAGAACAGCAGGGAAGGCATGTTGGGCACAGCTTGCTTGCTTCTAAAATGCCATATTTCCGCCCCCCTCCTTTTACTATCTCTGTCCCCTAGGCTGCAATATGGATCTGTGTTCTGTCTGGCATGGTGACCCACGCTCATGCTGTCAGTGTACTTCTTACTTTTACTTGCCTAAACTCACTCTGCGTAGCTTGTTGCTTTCCTTCCATTTAATAAAATTTTGTTATCATTAAAAAAAAAAAAAAACTTTCTATAGAACTCCCAAACTGAAGGGTGATTTATCATTTTGGGGCAGCATTAAAAATAATCTTTTCTTCTGCCCAAAGACATAAATTACTTGATAAACTAAAAGGAGAAAAATTTTGTTATAAACATTTATAAAATTAGTAATTTATGTACAATCACCACGGATATTAAGGTTACCCTATACACATCCATAGCTAGAGACAAAAACTCTTAAAATGACAAAAATTCAAATTTCTTAGTAATCAATGTTACAATGTCCAATAATAAAATAAAAAAAAAATCTACCTCAGGGGCTAACATTTGTGGTAGGTAAAAATATCAGAAAGTATTCATTTGAAATACAGCTATATATTCTATTTTCTGACTGATTCGTTAATATATCCAGGTCATAAAAGAAACTTTCTTCTACATGGTTGTTACAGAACCAGATGTAACAGTACAAAGCAATTATAAACAGCATCTAGTTAAATGATTTAGACTGCACAGAGTAAATGAATTTCTTACGGCTTAAGAGTATAGAAGGTCTGGGACTTACACCTTAGAATTTTCTTCTCAGTATAGTTCTGAGTCTTCCTACAAATCAGAAAGTGTTCACACTAAACATCTGACTGGAAAAGCAGAGGTGGAAAGTAAAATGTTGATCATAAAACTGAAGATTTTACCAAATCTTAAAAAAAAGTAAATCATTCTCTGAATCTCATGTCATGAAGAAAACTGAAGAAAAATTCTCATTATAGATAACTGTACTTTTTAAAAGCTTAGATCCAGGTCCAATCTAGACTTTGTTATGATCTAGAAAGTGGAGGACAATAAACAACTGGAGCGATACAGTTAAGAATGAGACTTACTGGACAGCAAGTCTATTGTAGGATGGTGAATACTTGTCTTTATTTGACTGAGAAGTGGTCTCCTTTATCTACCAATCACCAAAGACTGCATGTCATCAGTTTCTTGGCAAACACCACATTGTCAGTCCAGTATTAACTGTTATTAAGGATTACTTCCTTATGCAGAGATATCACTGAAGTAATTGTAAAGTGACAGCAAGATCTGGTGACTGTAATGAGCAGGAAGGCAGAGATTTATTTCAGTCCTTACATATTTCACTAGAAAAGTTCCTCAACACAATACAAGCTGTTGTAAGTATGCAAAATTCAACATAAAAGACACAAAAATGCCAACATAAATGCAAAATAGCGTTAATATACTTAACAGATATTGACAGAAGTCACTACTAGTTATACTACATGTTGGTTTTCATAATGTTTTTAAAGTGTATAAAGTTCAACATGTAACAAATATAAAAATGCAAAAGCATACAGATAAAAACAGAATGCCAAACAGGTTACAAAGCCTCCATGATAAAAGGCCAATACTAGCTATATCTATGTATTCCATCCTATAATCTCATAAATCAAAGCTTTCAACTGCCTGGACTCATATGTGACTGTGTTCTTTCCAATATGCATTCTTTCCTCTTCAAGTGGTTGCTCTATGACAGCAGGTATATTTCTGCCATGAAGTTCACAGTGTTCTAGAAACTGCACACATTCCTGAATAACACTATCTCGAAGCACTATCATGTGCTTGGACATATTTTCCAATAAGGAGAGAAAGCATCTTTTGGCATAATACCATGTATCAGTTCCCAGTTTTTTATTGTAAGGTTCCAAGCTCTTAATAACGCGAGAAATACCAAATTCATAATTTCCTTTGGCACAGTAGAGCGTTCCTATCACCAGATTGACAATACACAGATGGTAGATTTTCTTTTTTGGGTCGATGTAAGACAGTTGCTCTTCCTCCTTTTCAATCTTCCTCATCAACTCCTCAGCTTCTTCATTCTGACTAGTCATAATATAGGAAACACAGAGGTTAGCTAATACAATCGCGCTGACATTCAGGATGTTATCATAATGCTTCTTGACTATGGGTTCATAGAAACCAATGGCCTCTCTGTATTTGTTTTCCTGCATGAAGAGAACATGAGCTACATTCAGCTTCCACACATCATGGTCATTACAGAATTCCACAGACTTGCGGAAAATCTTTTCCACCATTGGATAGTTTTCAAGATTCCAGTAGATTTTCGCTTGGGCCATCAACACAGGAATGTATTTCTCAAGAGTTTCATCATATTCATTTTCTGTTTTTTTGACAGTTTCTTCATCTCTGTTGTGTCTTGCTTCCTGTACTTGTTTGGTGAGTTTCCGGAGCTGCTCAGTCAGCATCCCAGATAGTCCATCAAGCTTAATGAAGGCCTCTTCTGGAGCTGTCTGACAAGTGATCATGGCATCCAGGAAGTCATAGAGATAGGGCGTGAGGAACTTATAAGTCAAATGGGCATTTTCTGCCAGAACATCTGCCGCCAGGTCAAAATACTCATACTTGCAGTACAGCAGCAAGAGGTTGCCAAAAGTCTCTGGAGGAAAGGGGTTCTGTTGGAGCAAAAACTGCAGTTTTTCAAATCCTTCTGTAGGTCTGGTATCCATGTTCATGAGTGCCTGGTTGTGCAGGGTCACGGGGTCCAACTCTTCCTCTTCCCTGGGTGGCATGTCAGTGAGGGTTTCCTGAGCCACCTGGTAGTTTTTCAGCTGGTACTCTATGGCTGCCTTGAGGTTGAAGGCTTCCACCAGAGCGGTCTGATGCAGAACTAAGGTGTTGCCAACACTGCGAGCATCTATACCTTCAGTGGTCATGCCCACTCCGAGCTCAGGGTGCTGGCGGATGCCATGTTTAATTATGTCGGCGATGTGTTTCTGGGCTGGAGCATATTTCTTGTTGCTGTAATAGGCCAGCGCCAGGTTGTAGGAGAGGTCTGGCTGGTAGCCTGAGGCCTGCAGAGCCGCAGAGAACTTGGAACACGCAGCTTCATAGTGTCCCTCTGTGTAAAGCAAACAACCCAGGTTGACCTGGCCATCGCGGTCGCTCTCTCCCGCACTCTCTTCTCCTGCCTCCCCACTCAGCTGCTGCTCTACTAGGCCCCTGGCCCCTGGCAGATCGCCCTCACTGTACTTGATGGCCGCCTGCAGGCGCAGGACCTGGCTGTGATAGGCGGGGTTGTCCAGGAGGAGGAAGGCCACCCGAGTGGCCTCTGGGTAAAGGCAGGCCTTGTATAGGGCCTGGGCCTGGTACAGGCGGTACTGCTCGAGTTCTGGGTGCAGCTGGCTCAGCTGCTCATAGCACTCCGCGGCCAGCGTGAACTCCTGCAGGCGGTAGTAGCAGTAGCCCAGCAGCGACAGCCCGGCGCGGCTCTTGGGGCTGCGCTGCAGCTCAGCGGCCAGCAGCTGCACCGCTTCGGAGTAGTGAGAATCGCGGATGAGCCGGTACACCACGGCGGTGTACTCACCGTCGGGGATCTGCGTGCTGCTCATCCCGGCTAGAACCGCCATGATTGCTGTGTTGGTTTCCAAGGCAACGAGAGAACCGGAAACGGAAATTTGTCAGAAGTTAAATTTGATGAGGAAAAGAACGCCTTAAAAATAAAACACGAAAAAAAACCACGATTGCTTGTATTTTCTCAATTTCTTACCACGTCCTGGAATAATTCAAACTCTATAGGCATCATGATTTGGAGAAATAAGGAAATGCCTCCGTTCGTTCAGTGACGTAAATGGCTAGTCCCGGCATGCATCGCGCGGTAGTGTTTTTCCCGGATGTGGCCTCGATGCATGCTGGGAGTCGTAGTCTCTGGCAAATGCAACTTTGACTCGTGAGGCGTGACCTGTCTTTTTGCTTGATTTTGTTTTTTTCTAAATAGGAATGAATCAAAGAACACTAAACTTATGAGTTTCCTAATATATGGGAATATCAGACTTTTCTCTCTTAACCTTAGTGTCTGAGCATTGCTGATTATCTGGGACAGCGGGGTTGAAGGGCTAATGCCTTTGGAGATTCAAGGCTTGTACATCTGGTTGTATAATGGCACCATTTCGTGTTTATTTTGTTGTTTCTGTTTGTTTTGTTTTTGTTTTTGTAACATAATGAGAATATCAGGTAATCTTTTTGGAATTCCCCTGGAATTAGTTTTTTTTTAAATGCTGTCCTTAGGATAAACTAAAGCAAAATATAGTTCTATGCAGTTATTCAGCAAGTTTTTATGTTGGTCTTCTCCAGAGGTTGACAAGGTCTTTTCTAGGTGTAAATTGCAGAACGTGCTCCCTCTCCATTAATAGGCCACTTACGTGATGAAAAATCGTCCTGTAATGTGCATATTATTGATAGAATATTCTGGGCTAGTTTATATTTTAAGGAAGGGTTTATAGGGTGTTCAGGGTCTCACTACTAGATCGGACTCGTAGTGATCCTCCTGTTTACAGCCTCCCAAGAGCTGGGATTACAGGCGCGTGCCACCGTGCCCAGTCGTATTTGCTGTCTCAGCACGCCTTGGGGGCAGGGTGGACTCGGCAGGCCCTGGTATCCAACTCCCAGAGCCTGCGCTTGCTTGAAGGCGCTTTAATCTGTTTAGCTGTTTGGGTGGCCCTGGGCTAGTTTACTTAAAGATTTACATAATTTGCTGAAGATTACACCTATCATTCAAAGATGCTGAGCCTTGCTATGCAGCAGGTGATTTCCATAGCAAATAGTGTGGTGATTAACCCAATCCATATGTCTCCTGCAGTGTTTTTAAGGGTCCAGTTTTTGTGCCAAGGAAATATGAGGGCTGAAAAATTACTGGGCTGTTTTCCTTCATTAAACTATCAGCTAACTTTGTGTGAGCCGAAGACTTTGAATTTACCGGCCCCAGTTACAGCTGCAAGCAGACCTTAGGAAGTGATTCATCTGTAGCTCCTAATCATTCATATCACAAAGAGAGTTCAGTAGGTGTGCAGTGGTTCATATCACAGAATAACAGACTTTGTGTTCTTATTCGGTCTTCTTGCTTGCTGAGAGTTGATGGAGTTTTGTCTTACTGGGTAGGAACAGGAACATCCAAGGAATACTTTTATAACCATGACCTGAGGCTTTTTTTCAGCCTTATTTATGGTGTATCCTTTTAGGGTCTTAGACCTAGGAAGGTACATAGTTGGAGGAGGCTGGCTATTGCTGCTCAGTAATGACAGGGTATGTGCCTTCTCCCTTAGAGCCGACTGCTTGCCTGACTCTGGTCCTTTGGAAACTTAGGCACAGTATTTTAAAATCCTTATGTATGAGGGCCTGGAGAGATAGCTCAGTACAATAAGCACTTGCCTGGCAAGTGCAGGGTCCTGAGTTCAATCCCCAGTACCACAAAAAAAAAAAAAAAAAAAAAACAACCTTATGGACTATTAACTCAGGGAAGTTGCTATTAATTGATGGCATAACAGAACACAGAAACAAGTAATTGCCTTTTATTATTTTAGTCATCTATTTCATAAGTTATATTTACCTCATTAAAACATTCACCTTCAAATGACTTTTTTTTTTTTTTTAAAATAAAAAAAAAAAAAATTTTTGTAGAAAATTTTTTTTTTTTTTTTTTTTTTTTTTTTTTTTTTTTTTTTTTTTTGCGGAACCGGGGATTGAACTCAGATCCTTGCGTTTGCCAGTCAAGCGCTTATCCTACTGAGCCATCTCCCCGGCCCCTTCAAATGACTTCTTGAAAATTTATGAAAAATAGATTTATGTCTTTTTTTTGTTTGGCTTTTGGCGGAACTGGGGATTGAACTCAGGCCCTTGTGCTTGCCAGGGAAGTGCTTATTCTCCTGAGCCATCTCCCTGGCCCCATGAAAAATAAAAGGATTACTGCTCTTACCCAAATAACTTTGATTCCTACAGGAGTTCTTTTTCTGTGTTGCTGCCTGTCTGTGAGCATGGAAAGTGAAGTTGCAGGGGAAGCCATTCTATGTCTGCCTCCTTTTTTCGTGTGCTGTTGCTCCAGAGGCCTGGCTTGAAAAAAGCAGAACATTCGGCTTAGACAGATGGAGGGCAGGGTCATTTTCAAAATGAAATGAGTGAAGCAGTCACACTGTGAAATTGGCATGACCATCACTGCTACTGTGATAGACCGATTTATATTGAGTCTTTGATAGGCAATTGGGGAATAGGGTAGGGTTTTTTTTTTTCCCTTCTTTTTGGAAAGGAGAGGTGAAAGGAGGCCCCTTAATTAATGATAGAAATCCTGGAAAGCAATAAACAGGGTTGAATATCATGAATTATAAAGGATCATTTTGTTTTCAATAGAATCTTGAAAGGCTAGAGGATGTACCAAAACATAGGTGTTCAATAGTATTCCAGGCAATAGGAAAGCATTTGGGGGTTTAATAAAATGAATTATAGACTTGCAGGAAATAATTAGGGATTGAGAAAATAGGGTGAGACTTGGGGTGGATTTTGCTTCACAACGGGAGGTGTTTAATTTAGGCAAATATTAGCAGAGCTAGAAAACATAATATTTGGTTTTTAGAGTGCTTATGTCTGCCTGCCAAAATGTGAGATGACCAGTGCCCATGGTATATATGTATAATATAATTTGCACTTATTATATATCATGTGTATTTGGCATTCTCTTTTAAAACTAATTGGAAGGTGTATTTTCTTATTTATCCCGTGGGAACATATCTTCCTAAAGGAAGTCCTTCTGGAAAACCATTTTCCATTTACTATTTATCTTTCCCTTTGATTCCTGGTCATTTTCTTCAGAATGGCCAGTCTGAGGGTCCAGTTACCTTGCATCCCTGTCTCCAGACCCATCACTTACTGAACATAGGAAAGAAAAGTGCCAAACTGCTAATGTGGTTCACTGGCTTTTAGGAGCATCTGTTCAAATCTTTTAAGACTTTTGTGAAGACTATACCTTATGCTTAAGTGGTAAGACATTTCACCTCATTAGGAATGCTCCTTTCACTGATGGTTCCAACTTTATTAATATTTTAATTACATCTCCTTTCTGAATATATCTTGTTTTTGATCAACTAGCTTATATTTTGAGGTTTACAGTATTGCTGTCTGAATTAGCCTACCAAGAGAGCATAACAGAAAAAAAAAAAAAAAAAAAAAAGAGAGCATAACAGGATTATGGTTCGTAAAAAGGACTAGCAGAGAAAGCAACGCTGTGAATGCCGGCCATCCGGCCAAACAAAGAGCTAATTTAAGCCCTGTGTTTATGCAGGCGGTTCAGTACCAGGCCTGCTTTGCCTAACTTGCCTCATTATTCCTCACGGCCCTTCTGTGAATTGGGGGGTTCTTATGGTTGACCCTACTTTAAAAGTGAAGACTTTAAAGCACAAAGAAGACAGCAGTTGCCGCCGCCAGCACTAGTGATTGCTTCCACTGGCCAGTAGTGGGCCACACTGTAGCCCTTCCCTTTCTCCCTGGGCACCTCCTCTCCAGTCATTTGAATTGACTTTGGATCATTTGCTGCAGTTTGTTCTAACAGAACAGGCACAATGGTGGAAGAATTTTAAAGTTTAAGCACCGAAGCCATTGTATAATTGTACAGCGTCGCTGTGGCTGAGGTCCTGCATTGATGTGCTGCCCCTGTGTAATTGCCCATGCAAATTTCAGCAATGTATAACGGACTCCGGAACCCTGCATTTGGCTGCAGTGTCTCTTACCTCCAGGAAACCTTCACTAATTCAAAGAACCTTTGGTCATTTTGAAAGTGCCGCCTCAGTGTCCCTCCCACAGAGGCAAACATCACAGATGAAGACAAAGTTAATAATGAGAATTTCAACTGTTGATATTCAGAGAAATGCTTCTTTCTTTGAGCCTTCTCAAAAAAAAAAAAAAAAAGATTATTTCAAAGCTTTCATCAAACATTAAGCATTTTATTAAAAACAAAGATATTTATTTAGATCCCTTAAAGCAGTCTGTTTCAAAACCATGGATTAGTTGCTTGTGAAATGGCCAAGCAGTCTAAAATGCAGTATTCTTACAATGGAACATCAGCCTGGGAAATATACACAAAGGGAACAGCTTCAAACAACTCAACTGAAGACATATTTCCCTTGTTTTGTGCAAAACAATAATAATTAGGAAGCAAGTCAGTAGGGGATCCTTTTTAGTTGATTGTACATCAAGATAAAACGGTAAAAGCAATATCCCCCCCAAGGGAATGAAGCTCCACAAAACCTAGTTTCTTATTTTCACACTATATGCTTGTTTTTAATTCATCTAAATATGATTTAATCTGAATCTAGAGCAAAAGAGAAATTCAGATTGTAACACACACACACATAAATACCCAGAGAGTGAGCACAAAGATAAATTATGGTCTTAAAGAATACACTTTTCATAACAAGAACTTCATTTGCTGAATAACTGTATCTCTGTATCAGTGTATACATTCACTGGCAGTGACGTGGATGTGCTACACAGGTGAATGACTTATCTTTAGCACTGCTGAGCGATATGGCAAACATAAAAGGATATTCAAAATCAAAGTAGACATACAACCCAAATGGCTAGCTGAGAGGAAAGCAGTCCCACGGACACCACTGAGGGTTGCCAAATCTAGATGCTCACCATGAAATTCTCCAGACCTACTTCATTTTACTTCTGCCATTCGTGGATTTTATTCTATTATTGTTCACCCAGGAAACTTATTAAATTTTGGCTTTGCAGCTAGATTTAACCTTTAAATCCCCGGTGCATTTGCATTTGGGAGAGTTCTTCACAGCCTGGGGCAGCATAACAATGTCAGAGATTGTAATTCTGAGGCAAATAATGCAAGCTCAGGACAGGGACATTGCCAGAGTTTTTAAGAGTCCCAGATTAGGTTTGGCTCCACCGCTTTGCTGAATCCTTTTTGCCTTCTTTCCCCAGACCAAAGCATTTTTCTTTATATTTAAATCTCTCCCAAATATGTTTAGATTTCAGTCCCACCGAAGGCAATTGTGACATGCTGTCACTGGGGATGATACTGTTTTTGTCTGTCTGCAATTTATAAAAGGTATCAGGAAAATGGATTTTATTTTTTATTCTATCTTTATAGATAAACAGATTTTATGATAATTGTGCTGCAGAGTAAATTGAGATTGCTTAATGGCCTAAGGTAAATGAATAAAGTATGATAACATTTAATACACAGAAAAAGCAACCAAATTCCAGGAAAATTAACATATTGCCATTTCTCTAATATAAAATGTGTAAAGATTTTATTTTCAGTCCAATATGTTTGCAAATGTAAAATACCTGGAATTACATAGGCATCTCAGATTTTAGAAACAGAGAAAATGCAGGTGCATTAACTCACTTAAGAAATTTACTTTCAAATCAATGACTACCATTTATGGGATACCTAGGAATGAAATACTTTAAAATTGTTCTTTGTGAAATAAAGGAATATGTATTTTTAAAGTGTATTACTGACCATATGATACATTTTAAAATATGTGTTTTTATAAGTACTACACCCATGTAATTTTTTATTTTCATCTTTAGTGAAAACATGACCTCTTTAGGTTTGGTAGCATTTTATTTGAGAAGAAAAATAAAATGACCTAGAAAAATTTTAAAAAGCAAAACACAGCTTCCTCCTTTGATGTGGAAATGGGGTAAACGTCAGAGCTTTTATTAATCGATGGAAAACCTGAGATATGGAGGGTCCCAAGATTACAGGTCCAGCCAGTGGCCACGTAGGCTGGAGTCTCAGGCTACTATTACTGTACACTGTATGGCGCTCTTCCCATAATGCCATGCTGCTCTTCCCCCTCCCCAAGATAAGCTGTGCTGTACGCTAAACCTGTGTTACCTGGAATATAGACGAACACAAATAAATGTCACATCTGAAAAGAAAATACATCTAGAGGATGATACCATCTCAGATATTCATGTCAAGAGGCCTGAGGGAGCATAACTAATTTGGTCAGTTTGAGGTTTTACAGGAAGGCTCACGTTTCAAATACCTTCCTTCAATAGGAAATAAACAGTAATAATAAGGACTGGGGGAGTTTCTATTTATTTTGGAAAAGCAAATATATGGCAAACCATACACACCTCACAATCTTGGAAATTGTAAATTATCCTATAAAGGGGTTTAAATTACCTCAGGCTTTCAGGAGTTCGTCCTCCTGAACCCCGAGGTGCTGTCGGTAGCAGCAAGACTGCTGCCCTCACTTCCACTGCTTCGTGGTCGTGGTGGACCAGACCGCGGCATTAGTCAGCACTTTCGCAATCCTGACCCACAATGGGAAGGATATCTTGAGACAGGAGAAATAGATGGAGGCAATTACAAACAGCTCCTTGATTGATGGTTGACATTGGCAGGGCTCCACTGTATGGCAGATTGCAATGGTGTTGAACTCGCCTTGCTAGCAGTGGATGTTGCTATTGGCAACCGTGCAGTGAAGCCAATAAAAAGGCAAGAGAATGAGAGGAAAACTCAACCTTAGTGGAAGCCGTAGGGTTTGCGCTATAAATTATGTCCCCCTTAGCAATATGCAGCATCCACGTTCAGGGTAGCTAGCTCCTATGCTTGTCGCAGGCTGCGCGCTCTCATGGACCCTGGGTCCATTTTTATCATAAAGCCTGAGCTTTAAAATTTTGCTGTAAGCTGGGTTGGCATCCATTTGTCTTGGCTATTTATTTATTTGTTTAGTGGTGGGGAGGATAACAGATGTAGACTCAGCTCTGCCCCAACATGGACTAATTTTCAATTCCCGTTTGTGATATAAACGTGATGTGGCACAATACCAGAAAACCCTGCAGCGCTTCTCAGCGGCAGACCCGGAGCTCTCGCAGGCCGCGCTGCTCCTGACTCCACCCATCCTTTGTTCCTCACCTGAAGGAAGAGGGCTGGCCCTGCCGAAGCTATTTTCCTTTATAGTGGGGTGATTCGGAAAACTGGCTTAATAAAATCCATAAATCTGAACAACCTCCTCTTACCTGCTCTGCAGAAGCAATTTTTCCTGCACTCATTTTCTCCTCTAGCTCCTCCAGTCTTCCCTGCAGAGACAGCTGAAAAGCGTGGCTAGAAACATAATGTGTAGGGCTTCCATTCCTTCGCTCTCTTCTCTGTCAAACCCCTCCCTCCTCAGTTGTCTTTTTCTTAAGCAACTGAGGACAGGATTCCACACTCTCATTTTTTAATTGGAAGGGCCATTTTCCTTTGTTTGGATTGACTTTCCCCTTCCCTTGGCTGTCCCCTTCAGCACCTGTCTCAGTCCCTATCTTTCCTTTATTGCTTCTTTTTCTTTTCCCCCTCCTCTGCCATCTTCTTTTATTATCCCCTCTCCTTGCCTGGTTTATAATTCTCATTTACTTTGTTTGGTGTCAAAACAAAATTCCCTTCTTCTCTGTGATTACCTGCTTCCCCTCGCTTTCATTTTCATATTTTAATTTTATTCATTCCTTTCCCAAACATTTCCCAAGTGATTGCTGTGCGCCAGGGAAATACTGTCCTATGGAACTCGACCTGTCTGTCTTTTAAGACTTGATTAGCAACATCAATAATTAATACTGATCAGCGAACACAAGAATAAAAACGTTTTGCAAGTGTCATATTTTCCAGAGTTGGAATGAATCTCAGGTTTGGCTTAGTGCAGAGATTTTCAAAGTCCTCAGAGTCCCTTTGTGGCCTACCAGGTAAGTAATCAGGGATGGAGATTTGCAGGGACTCTAGGTCTACAAATTCTGCTTCAAGCAGAGGGCTTCAGATATGTCTCATATCATGGAGATTCCATGAAAGATTTCTTTTAACAAAGAGTTCTAAAAGTAAGGTGTGTTTGAAAATTACTGCAATCGTATTTGACAAATAAGGAAGCAAATGCAGAAAAGATGAATGACATCTTCTCATTCAATTAGTAGTCTCACAGGTAGGCCAAACATCTATTCTAGTATTCTTTGCACAAGATACACCCAATCCTCAGTGTTTCAGGTAAAGTGAGAGTCATTCTAGTCATGACATCTATCTAGTAGAGTTTATTTTTATTATAAGCCTGACTTCCTATAGAATATGTGATTTCTGTCCAGATGATTTTTTTTTTTAAATTTTATTTATTGATACAGGGTCTCACTACGCATCTTAGACTCATAGTGGTCCTCCTGTCTCTGCCTCCCCAGCGCCACACCTGGTTTTGGTGGCCAGCACGGTGCATCTGGCATTCTGGGCCTGGCGCATTCTACAGTTCCGGGGTTTGAACTTGGGTTTTTGGGCTTGCCAGGCAGGCGCTTAGACCCCTGAGCTTTCTCCCCAGCACCAGACTATTATTTCTTAATCTCTCAAATATTCTTTCTTATACTTAATATAAAAGTGAGTATTCCAGCATTTGGATTTAAATTGGTCAGTGGTAGTAAATTTTATTCCAGAACGCATCATTGGAAGAACTGAAGCAAGTTAGTGTTTGGTTTCCAGTGCTCTACTGTGTATCTTATGAGATACTTCTCATTGTTGAAAATAGTTCCTAAATGTTCTTAGGTGACTTGGGTAAATCTGGCTATAGATTTCCTTTTTTAAAAAATTTATTTATTTATGTGTGTGTGTGTGTGTGTGTGTGTGTGTGTGTCCAGCTCAGCCCACTAGGGGGCGGGGCTGGCTGGCATGTGGTGCTGGGGGATTGAACCGTGGTCCCTGTGCTTTACTAAGCTTGTTCTAAGTAGGTGCTTTAGAACACTGAGCCATCTCACCAGCCCCTAGATTTCCTTTCATCTTTGCTTTAATTAAAGTCTATTAATCTATGGGAGAAGGCTTAGTCTATAATGATGGTTGAACTCTGAAATTCTGAAAAACAGGACCATGATCTTACTGTAGAGTTACAAATCTTACATAAACACCAAAGACAAACACATCTGTGATACTGCTACTGTGGACTTCTGGTGGAGTGATTAGGATTGGTTGGTATCTATAAGGACAGCATAGCTTTTATCTTTTAGGTATGGAATTCTAAAGGCTCTGATTGCACATCAAGAAGCTACAGGAGAGGCACTCAGCTCTGATGTAGTTGTCTGTCCTCTTGCTTTTCTTACTTTTTCCCTCCAAAATAAACCACATTCCTTATACTGAAAAGAAAAAAAAGCTGTAGATTAAAAATGAAATGCCTCTATGGAATACACAGCTGGATTCTTGGGATAATCTGGCACACAAGGGCACTCCATGAAAAGCCACTGAACCGGGCAGTGTTTGACTGATAACAAACTGAAAAGTGTGTACAAAACGAAGCAGCAAGAAGGATGCTCTCACTGCCCCATGTTCTTGCAACTCACACTGGGCAGAGCGGACTGTCCCCAGGTCTGTGGGTCCAGCCAGTCCTCGGCCAAAAGCCTTGGTCAGCCCATGTGCCATCCTCAGTGTCAGTTGAGGGTCCCAGCTCCCTTGTCCTACGGCTTCTTTGTCCTTCTGTCCTGCTCTCAGCTGCTGGCCACTCTATGCTGAAAACCCAGGCACACTTCCCAGCAAATCCACATCCCTGAGACTTTAGGTTTGTCTGAGCTATGAGAACAAAAGGATGATGTGGCCGGGTAGAAGCTGGACCTTCAGGCTGCGGTCGCTCTGCAGCAGCTCTGCGAAGACACAGGGTTAGTTTCTGTCCTCTTCAGCCACCATGAGGCTGGCAGGGGCTGGAGAGGCTGCGGAGAGCAGCAGTCTTTCTTGGTGAAGCTCCTCCCATTTGCTTCGGTTTGCAGCTACCGAGTCTAGCATAGGCTTCAGTTTCATGTTGACCTTCACCAGCGCCTGAGACAAAAAAACAAAAAAAAACAAAACAAAAAACAGATAGCAAAAGAGCAACCTGAGTCACAGATAGGAGCATGAGAAGGTTGTTTTTAAGGGCATGAGAATGGCTGTAAAAAATGAAAATTATTTTGGTAAACATGAGCTATTTACAAGAAATAAATGTGCACTTAACACCCTTGTGTTGTATTAATAAAACTTATGCAGAGAAAGCAAAAATGATGCACGGTAACTGTGTCCAGTTCCAGCGGGAGCCAGCCTCAGAGGCTTGTGGCCTATTTTACAATCACATCAAGCCAGACAGAAGACAAAATATTCAGCTCACACTTGTCTGCTAACGTTTGCATCTTCGTCCATCAGAGAGGGCCCAGTCTCAGTACGATATGCCCTGAACTTAAATTTTTACAAAAGAGAATGTACAATTGCTCTGCCACTGGTGCCCCTGGGGGGTGGTCCCTGAAGAAGAGAGGCCAGGGGAGAAGGGAAGGAGGCAAGAGGAGAGAGGCTCATTCTTTAGCTAAAAGGCCTGGGCACCAGCCCCAAAGTACAGATCAATATGAAACATATCTGGAAGCAGATGTGACAGGCAGGGAAAGGCGTGTGAAGAGGCCAACCTGCATGTGAATGGGGTGAGGAGAAGTGCAAGCAGGGCTGTCCAGGGGCAGGCAGACTCCTGGGCACAGGCTCCGCCTCAGTGTCCTCACTGGCAACAGACCTTTCTTTTCTATTTTGTATGTAACTTTGTTATTTTGCAAAACAGCACTTCTACTTTTTATTATGAAAGACTTCAAATATATTCAGGCAGTAAATCATGATTAACAAAACTAGTAAGTGTCTACATATGCAAGCATGAGTAACACACAGAAGTAAACCCATCTTGTTAAAATACATATAAGAAAGGGCTTGAGAGTCTTTGTTTTGTAGATAGTCCGATACAAAAGGAAATAAGATCTGGATGACATTCAGTCATCTAACATGATTATTATCCTTTGAAAAGCAGGAGGATTTTTTAAGAAGTTATTTTATATAGTTCTTAAATACTGTGTTAATTTTAGAAACCACAGAAACAATGGGTTTAAAAAAGTAGGAAAGAATGGCAGCTGCAAACCACCTGTTAGTCAACTTGATTTATCCCCCAGATGACTTCCGCTCCAGGGAGTACAGGAATACCGATAAAATTTAGCAGGAGGTGAGTTAGAGGACTAGGGTGGAAGGAAGCGCAGAAATAGTCAGGTAGCCTAATGCATAGGGGGCTTTGCCGCTGCTGAGGGGGCGCCCATCTCTATATCAGTGGCCTCCAAATGCAGGAGGATCTGGGTTTTTGTCACTGTCTCTAACAGTGATGTTTACTGCCCATGCACAAACATTTAATTTTAAATCAGATGGACCAGTTATTTTATATGATAGTGAAACAAGACAACATAATAACTCAGGCAGTGATCAAAAAGTGTTTATTTCCACTAGAAAAATGCAGATGCCCAATTCCCCCTCAAAGCACAGTGTTGTTATTTAGACAATAGTATGAAATAGCAACAACTGCCCTGGTTTTATTTAGTAGGGGTTGGCACCGGCTCCTCTTTACTCTGATCAAGCCTTTTAATTAAACTGACTACTATAATTCCTATGGAAATTAGTGTTTATGTTATTTTCCTGCTACAAAAGCATTTCTCTAGAACTTTTTTTTTTTTTTAATCCTTGGAGCACAAATTGGAAATTTTTTTCTGCTTGAAATGTAATTAAAAACTCATTTGATTACAATATTTCTGGCTCTGTTTTACTTATTAAATTCCTGTAATCAGTTTTCTTTTATGAAGCTGCTGGGAAATGATCTCAAAAGCAACACATTTTTCTCTTCCTTGGCAGGTTCCCGAGCATTTACTAAATTACGTTCATAGCACCTGCTCATGATTCGAATTACTCCACCAATTTATTCCTTAAACCATTTAAGTTTATTTGGCTTAGCCCCAAACAGCTTTCTTCCCTTTATCCTTGTTCTTTGTTCTCCCTCTTGTTTCTTTTGTGTTGACTAAAATAATGGGGGAGGGGGGATGTTGTCAGAATTCCTTCCTTCTCTTTGTGCCTTATCCTCTGGAAACAAAATTATCCTAGAATCTCATTTGTGGGGGGCCCTGGACTGGTTCTAGGCAAAGGTAGCAAAAAGCCTATCTTGAGCAGTTATTCTTACGCTATACGTTTGTTACTTAAATGCATTAGGTTGAGAGAATATGGGACTCCTAAAAAGCAAAGCCTAAGGTTTATGGTGACTTCATGCGGTGTCATCTGCAAGAGAATGGCTTCTAGTGTATATAAAGATTGGACATTCCTAACAGCTTGTCATCAGTGACTGACACCTAATGGGTTTTGTGAGAATGCTACTATTTTTTAAAAAATTGTTATTTATTTATTTAGTACAAGGTCTCACTATGCAGTAAAGACTCATACTGATCCTTCTACCTCAGCCTCCCCAGAGCTGGGATTACAGGCCTGTGCTACCATCCCTGGTTCTGGGGCTGGCCCTGCATGTGGGACCTGGGATGGAACCTGGGTCCTTGTGCTTGTCAGGCAGGTGCTTAGACTCCTGAGCTATCTCCCTGGCCCAATGCTGCTACTGGTTAGTTTGACTTGCTCCTCACTTGATAAGAGAGAAAGATGGAACAGCACTCATCTGATTAGCATCCACATGTGTACAGGGAGACTGTGTGGTTAGCACTATGTGTTGCTCTGTCAGAAACAGGATGGCCAGCTCTGTGCTGTGGCATCCCTGTGGTATGGCCAGTCCGCCACTGGTTAGACACATCCACAGGCACTCGCTGCACTACTTCCAGGTGGGGAATCTGTTTTACTCTTTGTTGTGGTCTGAGAATATTGCTCCTATGCTGAACTCAAATTCCCATTTCTATGTCTTCTCTCTAATGATTTTAATCCTTGTGATAATCTCCCTTTAAGCCAGAAAATTTTCAAGCAATTTAGCACATGCATCATGATGCATGTACTGTACCAGGCACATGTTGTGAAGGATACTGAGGCAAAAGCACAACTTAAGATGTATAGCTTCTCTTGTGGGGCAACCTTATTGCTGTCACCAGCACTCCAGGCCTTCTCTGGCCCCCTCTTAGTCTATCGCAGACAGGATCTGGGACACCTGCTATACTAGAAGACACCACTTTGGGCATCTAGCTGTTGACATGGCTAAGAGAACCCAGGTTCTATGTCCACTCCATTGTTGAATTCTTTTGTGCATAGCACATGTAGTTTAGTCCATATTTTAGTTATGTTTTGACTAAGTGACACATCTACATAGCTCAAGGGATATGAAAGGTATAATATAAAATTTCCCTTCTTCACTTGCCTAAACCAAGAGGTAACAGATGTTATCTATTTTTTGTATATCCTTCTAGGATCTTTCTATCCTTATATAAGTAAAAAAAAAGAGATTTTTCATTTCTTAGAGCTACCTAGTATTTCAATGATGTCATAATTTGTTTAAGAAACTAGAAGCTAAAGGTTGTTTATAATTGGCCACTCCAAATAATGCTGTAATGCATGTCCTTGTAAAGAGCCATTTTGTAGATGCCAGGTTTATTGAAAGGTCAAATTCTAGAATCAGGATTGATGAGCCAAAGAGCATGCACATTTGCATTTTGATAGATATTACTAAAGCAGCATGTATAAGCCCTATGTAAGATACAATACAGCATCCTTATATTAGGAACTCTTTGAAGAGAAAGAAGACATAAAACTCACACTATTTAGATTAAGGCCTGTAATATACGGTGAGGGTAGATAAAGCTAGGAAGCGTACAGAAGCCTGGCGCTTGGCTCTTCCCTGTGTGCACTCCAGATGCTACCAGGTTCCTTGTACGCTGGGCCTTGGCCAAGCACCACAATGATGTTGATCCAAGACTTTTAAAATTTCTTCCTCCTCTGAAAGAATCTTCCCACATGGCAGTGAATCTATTTAAATTTCTTAATAGTCTTTGACCATTTTAAAATGTTTTCAAGGTGTTTCTCAGGCAATTCCTGTTGTTAATAAGTGTTTATTGAATGTTCAATTTGTTAGACTACACTAGGTACTTTACATACATTGTCATTCCATTTTCTGAAGAGCCTTATGAGATGGATATCATGATTATTCTCTTTTTGCTGTTGTTTTATGACTGAGGAAACCAAGGCTTGGATAGTTTGTTTTATTTTTTTCTTTTTATGTATTTAGTAGAGGGTCCACAGGGTCTCACTACCCAGATCAGACTCATAGTGATCCTCCTGTTTTCAGCCTCCCAACCACTGGGATTGTAGGCGTGCTACCCCATCTAGTTTCAGTTGCCATCTCAGCACACGTTGGGGGGTGGGGCTGGCAGGGCACTCTGGGGAATCGAACCCTGGTCCCTGCGTCTGCCTAAGGAGATGCTGAGCTGTCTGGCCGGCCCATGGCTCGGGTAGTTTAAAGGACTCACTCATGGTCAATGTTTGGTAAGGAGGAAAACTGATAGATGGCTGCAGTTTCTTAACTTTAGTACTGTTAATATTTTGGGCCTGATAATTCTTTACCGTGGGATTATCTAGTGTACTGCAGGTTACTACAGAAGCCAGTAGGAGCCCCCAACCACAAGACCCTGTCAAGTTGTGGTAGCCCAAAATATCTCAAATATTGAATATACTGAAAATGTTCCTTGGGGAGTTGAATCCTTCCAGTTAAGAACTGTTGCATTATGGGCTCTATCTGCCTCTGTAATGTCTTAAATCAATGGAGCTTTCTGCAATTAAAAGGAGGACCAAAAGTAACAAGCTCTGTAGTATGAACCCTCATAGTACCTCTGCTTGTTGAGAAAATACAGAATTACTTCATGGGCCAGATAATACCCATCTCCCTGAGGAACTTTAAGGCAAAGAATTAAGTGTAGCTCTTATATACTGAAGATTCAGTGTGCTGGGCTAGGAGCACAGGCTTGAAGTCATCATGTCCTAAAATCTTCACAGTGGTTTCATGCCGGAGGTACTTCCAT